TGGAATTTCACGAGGTTCCTGTCAGCCCATTTCTCCAACCTGTCCAGGTCTCTCTGGATGGCAGCATGACTCCCTGGCATATCAGCCACTTCTTCCAGTTTTGTGTCATGTGCAGACTTGCTGAGGGTACACTCTACCCCATCAACCAGACCATTAATGAAGATGTTAAACTGGACTGGACCCACTATTGACCCCTGTGGTACACTGCTAGTTACTGGCCTCCAACTAGACTTTGCAACACTGATTACCATCCTCCGGGCCCATCTAGCCCACACATCAATGGCTTCTCTATGAGGATCTTATGGGAGACAGTATCAAAGGCCTTACTGAAGTCCAGGTAGACGACATGCACTGCTCTCTCCTCATCTACCAGGCCAGTCATGTCATCATAGAAGTCTGTCGAGTTGGTCAAGCATGAATTCCCCCTTGGTTAATCCATGCTGATTACTCCTGATGATTTTCTTGCCTTTTACTTGCCTGGAATGGTTTCCAGGATTAGCTGCTCCGCCACCTTCCCAGGGATCGAGGTGAGGCTGACCGGCCTGTAGTTCCTTGGGTCCTCCTTCTTGCCCTTCTTGAAGACAGGAGTGGTATCTACTTTCCTCCAGTTTTTGCGCACTTCTCCCAATGGCCATGATTGATCGAAGATTATCAAGAGTGGCCTCCCAATTAAATCTCTCAGCTGCCTCATGGGTGCATGCCATCAGGGCCCATGAACTTATGTATGTCCAGTTTGCTTAAGCATTTCCTGACCTGATCCTCTTCCACAAAAGGCAGTTCCTCCAGATTATCCCCCTGGTCTCCAGGACCTGGGATTCTTGAAGGCCTGTCACATGCTGGGAAACAGCACCAGGCCACTACCAGCAACCCTGCAAGCGCCAAGTCTCTATGGGTCAATGAAAAGAGCAACACTGACTTCTTACATATTGATAACTGCCAATCCCATTCAAATTCTGCACATGCATTGCACCTTGCCAAGACGTGATGGCATTCACCTCACGTCTCAAGGAAGTACATACAACTTGCATTCTATTCACATTGGGTTCAAATTATGGCCAGGACATGTACCAGCCTTGTTACAAAAGGTCAAATTTACCCCTTACATGTTTTAGATGACCTGGGTTCCTTTCTCATTAGAAAAGCTGGTCAATTTACCTGTCAGATACGCAGCCAAACTCTGCAATAGGAGCTAGAAAATAACACAAAGCCAGAAAGCTGGATGTTTTCCCTCAAACGTGCTTCAGATCTTTTCTCTAACACAATCTGGCCCCATTAAATTAATTAAGATACGTATCACTAGGTCTAATTAATATAAGATGCAATCTGAAACCTTTTACAAATTAGTACTAGATTATGAGCATTTTCACATCATTATAACCCTTATAACAAAAAAAACCACAAATGAGCAAGGGCATTAAATTCACTCACTTTCATTCAGCAGAACTCACAGGCCGTGATTTGGTCCCAGGGATGTCTGTTCTCTGTTGATCACCTTCCTTTTCAGACGATTGGGCCTCAGAATTCAGGTACTCTGGATTACTTAGATAGAATATGTGCATTTGGGTTGACATACGACAGTAGTAGCCTTAGGCTTAGTAGATGTAAGACCCTCACCAGCATAAACATCACACACAGGTTTACTATGGCAAAACTAAATTGCTCCCTAAACAGATCTGTAAGTGTGTGGCTTGACTCTCTAAATATAGCCTCTGACAATATCCATAAAGAAGCCACTTGTTACTTCTGAGAGGTTCATGTTTCTTTTATAGTTTGGAAGGAATCTGGGATCTAGCAGGGGGTTAATTCACTCAACTGAGCAGTGGGTACACCTTCAGAAGACTGCTTTCCTTAGAGGAGAGAATGTTATCTCCTGGCAGACAGTCATATCCCAGTACAAACAGTCATACCCCAGTTTCTATTCTGTTAATGGACAGCTATTCCTATATTAATTAATTTGTCTTTAAAAAGTAGATTTATTAGTATTGGCACAAAGGCCTTGAGCTACGGTGTTTAAACTGCTTTCAAACTGGAGCCAACCGCAGAAGACACATGGTAGCACAGGCTATGTAAGGATAGCTGCACAAAGGCACCTGGGGGACAGGGTGGGAGGAAGGGCATGCCCTGACCCAAGGAGATCATTACATGCCACACCATACACTAGAGATCTTTTACAGTTCCACCATCTGTTTACACCACAGCCATTCAAAAGAATGCCAAGGGTTCAAAAAAAGTAGGTGCTAGATACTCCATTACCTAGAGCAATTTCCGAAGTTTAAGCACCCACAGCACCAAAAGTACAGTATCAACTCAGACAACGTATGAAATTCAGCACCTAGATTTCTCACAAAAGCTTGTTAAGTGCCTAGAAGCAGCAACACCAGAATATTTCACTGGCAGTAGAATTTAATATTTCACAAAAACATTTTACCATCCGCTGAACACCGATGTTTCACAACTCAGTGAAATGCAGCAGTCAGAGAAGTCTGGTCAGTTCCTTGCAAAGTAATTCTTTTCATATGTTACCTTGTGTAACTGATCCGAATTCCTATAGTATTCCATATGTCTGAAAATGAAAAAAAAAAAAAGCCTACAAATGCTGCTTGCTGGACCATCTGACACAATCAGAAGGATGAGAGAGGGATTAGACAATAGACCTCTAAGCATCCTGTGGTAGTTAGCATATTCCTCCCTTTGGAAAAGGCCCAGGGGACTTATGCCAGGGATGAAAGAAGAAGCAAAAACAGATTAGGAGGCTTTGAGAGTCATTCTTCAAGGGGGGGCAGCTGGTTGGTCTTATCCTGCATTACTCCAGAAAGAACATCATCACCTAGCCTGTCTGAAATAAAGAGAAGGAAGATGTGTGCATAGAAAGCATGAGCTGGTCAGTCCACACAGACATACAAATTTCTCCTTATCAAGGAGAGAGGATCCCACGCAGTGGGACTCTTCCCTCACTGAAAAACAAGAATTCTGAGCCAGCAGCAAGACTAGCCCCAGATAACAAGACCCAACTGGATTGCAGGCAGCTGAGATCCATCAGGGGACTCCATGTCTCCTGGGCCAAAGCAAACCCAAGAATCAAAAATTGCTTCTGCTACAAGAACAGAGATGTTTGATTTTTTACTTCTCCCTTCCAAGCAGAAGAATTATTTACTTATCTGAACAAAATGAGAACATTAAAGTTCTAAAGAAAATAGGAGACCAAACTGCCAAGCTGTCCTGTCTTAGAGACAAGATTTCTGTGAATCTCGTGTAAAAAACAACCTAATTCTCCAAAAAAGGCAAACTCACTTCTCATGTACACCTGACTTAAGGGGAGGGAGACATTGATTTTGAAAGAGGAGAGAAACTACTGCCAACTGGCAGCATCTGTGGAGAAACAGCTATTAGACACGGAGAATAGCATTTTGGAAATCTAGATGTTAAACACTTCAGGATTAAAAGGACTGTACATATTGTAATAAAAAGCAAATCCAGGTTCAATTTATTGCTTCACAAAATAAACAGACCAGCTCTAGCCCCCAAACAACAGCTAAGGTGCCCTCCTTAAGTACCATTTCCCAGTCACAAATGTAGAAAAAGAGCAGAAACAGAGAGTAGAGTACCTCCTACTCCATGGCAGTCCAATTCTGTCACTTGCAAGAAAACCCAAAGGTGAAAGACCAATGGCTTCATCAACTCACCCATCCCCACTCAGAGTTTGGGTCAGTAGAAGTAACCCATGAGACATTTTGACCCTTCCTCAGCTGAGCTAAGGGTGGCACTGTCATCTTTAGCATTGAGTTGCTCAGCATTATTACAGTCCTGAGGCCGGCAGAGCCTCACAAGAGTTCACTCTGTTGAAAGTCACTGTTCACAATAGACTCCCTCTGGGTGACAGCCAGGCTCTGGAAATCCAAGTCCATGTATGTTCCTTAAAAGTTTGTTGAGGAACTCTTGGCCAGTAGTCCACGCAAATCTAAGCAGATATATATCTTGTAGACAAATACAGAGAAGAACAAAATTCCAGGTGAGTACAGCCACTCTTCTACAAAGAGTGACCCAAGGTGACAAAGTTAAATGCACCATGACTTCTACAGACATAAAATGGGCAACCACAGAGTTTGGGTAAGTCAGCAGAGTGTGAAAGCTCAGCTAAGTCCCACCCTTCTGCAGGGCATTGCATTTATTATCTTTAATCAGAAAATGTCCTCAGGATTTTTTCTTTCTCTCAAGAGCAACCACGAAAATCTAACGTTCTAAAATGAATGCACTTGTCCAACTTTTGGTAACAAGGGAAAGGGATCAATGCTTATTTACATATGAGAAGCCACACTGTGAGAATACACTTACAACTGTTTCAAGAACTAACAGCAGAAGTGAAATATTTCAGAATGATTGATTTTATTCACATGTTGGATTATTCAGAAAAATTAAAAAGCCAAGAATGATTCTATGGTAGAAAATCCTCTAAATCAAAGTGAAGTAAGTTCTAGTAAGTCTATGTCCTTTGAGAGCTAAATGCGTTTTGGTATTTTCTGTAAGCAGGACAAATGCAAACATTTTGATATTAGTGTCTCGCATCCAATGTTACTTCATGAAAATCTCTGAGGTATTGTTTTATTTTATTCAGTACATTTAAAAAGTACACATTTTGGTGTTTATGGAACAAAGTCAAGTTTCAATACTTTTATCCCTTTTAAACAATACACTGTTGGCTAACAGAAGTTTCTCAGTACTCAACATGTTGTACCAGATCAACTGAGAAATAGTTTTAATTTTATTTTCACTATTAAGTTACTAGATAATAACTTCACAATCAAGCATTTCTTTTAACTGAAAAGTGGGAGCTGAGTGGCTGTGTAAAGCTTTCTTTCAATCTCTTTTCCCCATCACCCTGATAGTGTAACTGAAGAATTAAAGTAATTTAAGTGCCTCTGCACTAGGAAGACTCTATACACAAGAATCCACATTCTTCTTGCGTTTCAAATCTATTTTTATTGCCTCCACAGCCCCCGTACCAGAACTGACCACACATTTTCTGCTCTTTGTCGTAGTACCACTTCAAAACGTAATTCTGACATTCTCCACTATCTTGAACAAGGTCACATGCATCTGGAAAAGGCAAATAAGAGACAGATTTAATGAAAGAAAGATTCACCCTTCTCAGCATTGTAATTTCAGGGAAAAGTAACATTCAGTGCAAACTGGCAGATTAAAGAGGTAGCCAGCATTCAAGGTCTTACAAAGATTCACTAAGTATTCATCCACAAACGCACAGTGCCGGCATCCCTCTTCTGAAGTCCCTCTTCTTATGATTGATTGAACCAGAAGGAATGTCTGAAACAACTAGATTTTCAGTGGCATAAACAGAAGGAATGCTAAAAAGTCTTTAGTCTTCTAACATAGGCTTTTTACTAAAATTATTGTAAAATCATTATACCTGGTCTACAGGGACTAGGTAAATAAGGCTTTTCAGAATGTCCCTCTTCTTTAGTCCAACTTGTTATACTTGTATCCAGCAGTAAAATTTCATAAATGAACATACAGAGATAGTTAAATTATTCATGATAGTCTCTTAGCCAAATCCCAGAGTAATATAGATTTAAATTGCATAAATTAGCCTAAAAGTAGGCGAGGCTAGCATACTTTGTAGCAATCTGGTATTCAGCAAGTACAGATCTAATCAGCTTTCACCAATGTAAATTCGGAGTAACTCAAATGAAGTCAGAAGAGCCGCTCTAGACTTTGGTATCTGTACAACATCGAAGGGGAAGCACTGAGAAGTAAAGCAAAATACTGATAAAACTACCCAACCTAAAGATTTAAAATGACATAACCTTCTCCTCCTAATCAACTGAAAAACAATAAATCTCAAGCAATAGATCAGTACAAAGTACATTTCTCAAAAGGCAAGTTGTGGAACTGTGCTACATGTTTTTAGAAGTAAACTGTTGGGTCACTAATAACAACTCAGGATTGGGAACGGCAGTTCATGTATCTCCTGTAAGCAGCTTAGGTCACTGCTCACAACATCAGTGCAATGACCGTGACTACTTCCTCACAGGAAATATTTTATTTGTAAAGTATAAAGAGTAACATATCTTCATGCTACTGAATTTTCTGTGTGACCACAGATTTTATGCACTGGTTAATGGGAGTACTGATTCAAGATTGTACACATGCAGCTAGGCGATGGGACCAATTCCATCTGTGCTCAGCAAGTCTGTCATGCACTGTGGGTATATGGCATTCCCAGAGGTACATTAGCTTTTAATTAAAGATCCAGTATTAAAACAGTTTTGCAAAAGCATTGGTCCTCTCTCATCAGGGATGTGGCTACCAGACATTCCCAGAATCATCTTTGAGTGGAGAGAGGTGAAAACAAAGGGATGGCAGCTGTAGCAACGAACCACCTCACCCAAAGCTATGCAGACACCACCACATTTTTTTCACAGAAATTCTCTCCAATTGCAGTCTAAACAATAAAACACTCAATAGTGTTAAAAGAATGTGACAAATTATCTCACTATCAGCTTCCCATGCCTTTTGTATCAAATGGCAAATCTGCAAAGAAAAATGCATAATTAGGAAGCAAAGTAAAAAACATGAAGAATATATATTTTGATAGGATACCTCTGCTGAAGGATCCTGTTCTTCCTACTGACAGGAACAGACTGAGCAGAGACATATTTAGTTCCTCCATGTTGAGCTAAGTTAGCAGCTGGAGTAACTCTGTAATTATAGTGCATCTTGGGGATTTAAAATTATCAGCTGTTTTAGTAAACGGGATTAGAACTTTATATTATTACAAAAAGTTACAAATCAAAGCTAAAGTCATAATGACACCTGCAGTTCAGCCTTTAATTACAAACTCTACTGTATAGATTTGGACTGAATACAAACATACGGTTTGGAAAATGTAATTAATGGAAATGTTTCATACTGTGTAAATATTCAAATGAGCCCTTCACAATTTAGAGTCTTTTTACTGAATCAAAAAAGATTTTCGTATTTTAAAATCGTACCATAATCACTATAGGCAGCTCTAGTTTCTACTGTTGCCTCTAAGTTTTCCTCGTTCTCCTCCTGAGCTTCTCCATACTCATGTGGCTTTTCTCCTTCAGCATCTTCCTCTGTGAAATACTCATTCTCCTCATCATCATATCTCATTTCTGGCATTGTGTATACAGGTTCTTTGGTGGTCTCTCTAATATTCTCCAGAACTCTACTTTCAGTTCTTTCAATGTCTTCTAAACCATGACCGTAACCAGTTTCATCAGTTCCAGGAAAAGGCATCCTTCCAAGTAGAGAAAAAAAAAAATTAAGTATTTAAGCACCAGTATGGCCTTGAATAATGCATCTGGTTCATTCCTTCTGAATACCATGAAAAAAATTCTTGATCCTGATCCTGTTTCTGTTAAAGCTAATTTGAATGTAACTACTAACCCAAAGGGAGAAATCTTATATTCAGAGATAGACACTCAAAAACTTTAATAAGCAATTCCAAACCTTTCAATCACAGACACTTGCTGTTGTGTGTCTCCCTGATCTAAGTTTTCACACTCTTCTTGAAGTTCAGGTGCAGGATAACTGTTCACTTCTTCTGTGGGGAAAGCACAGATACCACACATGAGTTTTAAAGTCCTCCAAATGCCAGTATGTTTAATAAAAAGCACTACATGATTTTTTTGTTGTAAACTGGAGTTTCAATAATATAACACACCATATCTAGAGTGACTGGCACTATGACCAGGAAAACGAAAATTATGTTAGAGATCAGCTAGATGAGAATGACTCCTGAACCAATCTTTTATACTTTTGTCTTGCTCTGTAATACACTATTTATCCTTCTATAGAAACTTTGACATCTCTAAGTACACGCTTCTGATGAGGATTTTAAATTGGTGACAATTTCCTTCTCGATATTCTCTTGTTTGTATTTCAAAGCACCTAAGACCTGCTAGTCTGCATGAGTGTGTCCTGAAAAGTGAAGTTTTTTCTCTGCTCTACAGAGGAGGAATAACTGCAGTAAAGAGAGGTTTATGCCAAATCTGCTAAATATTGAAACTTGTATCTGCCCCAAAGCCCTAAATAGACATAAACAGCTCAGTAAATCTGGACCTGCCAATGGTCAGAGGAGAAATGTAGGCCTAAATCAGGAATATAACTATGTTCTCTTACCTGAAGAATGGTCTGTCTTTAGTGAAAGTGGAGTCAACAAAGCCATGCATTAAATACAAACTTAAGGGAAAAAAACTACTTAAGACTTTGGCCTAAGGCACCATTAGAATACAATGCTGTTCTGTCACTAATGGCACTTCTGTTAGTGCCCAGCATCTGCAGCAAACTAAAGCTGAAAGATTGGCTAGCTAAATTATGACTAGAAACTGAATGATAGCACATATACACTACCTTTTTCTATACAGCATTTCTCTTTCTTTCCATAACTTAAGCAAATGTCATTGCATGCTACTTACGTTGTAGAAGATTTAGAAATGCCCGGCTAAACCTCTGAGCATATACCATCTCAGATGTTGAAACCCTGCCCAATATCAGTAAGTGCTGGTCTGTGGGGGAGCTTGACAGCTCCATCAGCTGATTGTCTCTCACATCATTGCCAAGCGCAAGAGTGAACAAGGTGAATCCTTGGCACTTGGCTCCGAGTGAAATCTCTCTCAGCTTCTCTCTGTCCCATGTGCTTGTTTTGCTTCCAACTATTGCGAATATGACCCTGTGTTTTCTTTGTCTGGGGGCTTTAAAGAATACATTTTCAACTGTCCACTGCAGGGCAGAAGCAATGGCTGATGGCCCTTCCAGTTGGTGAACAGACTCTTGGATATATTTCTTCATCAAATCTTTATTGCTGTATGTAACTAGATCAAACTCCAAAGCCACAGGGGTCTGGTTTCTGTCAGGTAGGAAGCCCCTGGGAGCCTGCTGCACCAGTGCCACTCTGATGCCTCCATATGATTCGTTTGGCTGTGAGGAAACGACAAACTGATCTAGCATGTCGCTCACAAAGTCTTTGGCTCTCTGAAACTCTTCACTGCTGATGCTGTGAGAGCTGTCCATGATGTAAGTGATATCCATATCCATCAGAACAGGGGGAGGAAAGGGCACCTCGCAGTTGGTACTTGGTTTGCATTTATCTAGAGAGGAAGAGCCAATAGGCAGCAAACTATTCAGCAATACAATAAAAGCAATAGTTTAGAAAAACAATTCACACAGTCCTATTCATCTATTTTATTTTTCTTAAATTTTGATTTTTAAAAAAAAAAAAAAAAATCGATTTGGCAACTTGAAATCTTGTTGTTCTAGTAAGTAACAACAGATGAGTCTTGCTGAACAAGGTTTTGAGATACCATGGGAAATTATTCAGGCATGAGAGCAAAAAATGTTCAGAAGGTAAAACTTAACAGCTAAGAGTTCCCTTGAGAAATTTTGTTCTGTCAAAATCTAAACATTGTAAAGGACACTGGAACAAACTATTTTTCATCTCAGACTATTGTTCAGCATTCTGACATATGATCATTTAGTAGCTTCTCTCCCCTTCACAATGTAGAATTTACAGTAAATGAGTCTGGTTTCCCAGAATCATAATGCTATTTTAAGTGCATTTCTGTTAAAAAGGAAATGCCAAACACAATAATTCATTTCACATGGCCATGACAGCAACTAATTAAACAGCTTTTGTGGTTTTGGATTCTAATTCTTACTATCCACTGAAGGGAAAATTCAAATGGTAACTTCTCAGCAATGGTAGTCTGTAATCAAGGAATGATCTGGCATGGAGGGCAAGAAGACCCAACTGCAGAAGGGGTTAAACTGGCTGGAATCAGGAATG